ACAAAAATTTTCTTCTTGTAATGAACCAAAAAAAAAAAAAAAAAGAAAGAAAAAGCAACTTTTTGCATAGCCAAAATTCATATTAATTTCATGGAAGCTGCTGCTGGAATAAATAAGAAAAAAAGTAGATCATGTAGAATTCTTAGTTAATATGGTTCGATAAGTTCTCTTACCAAAAGCAAAAGGGCTAGATTTCATATGCAAAATTCATTTAAGTAATTGCATCTTTCTTCTTTCTTTTGAAATTACTACTGCATGTGAAATTATAATAAAATATATTACATATCATGTAATAAATCAATGAATTAATATAAACCAACAAAGAATTAATATATAATTAGATAAATCCAAAATAAACTCGGACCAAACCACACCTAATAACTTGAGAGATTTGGAGTTTAATGTTAGAAATATTTTTAAAATATAAAAATAATATGATTAAGTAAATTGACTTAATTAAAAGAAATATCATATTAAATTTGATTTATTCTAAATTTTAAGAGAATCAAATATAAAAAACTAATTATATAATTAACTGACTACCATGCTTATAAGAGTCGATTGCCTTAGACTTCTGTAAAGAGCAATCTGACTATTATTGGCGTGGAGTTGACCGCTTTAATAAATGAAAGCTAAATTTAAATTATATATAAAATAGCAATCAATGTTATGAATGGAAATGAATGAAATCGATTCCAAATCCAATGGAATCAACTGCTATTGTTCGATAGTTTTTTGGAAAAAAGCCTGCGATGATAGCAGTTGACTAATCGAGAGTGATACCTTTCTGGAAATTGACAGGAGTCGGCTACTATATGGAGTAGTCAACTGATGACGTGTCAAGTGCTATCTAAAAGTTGAAAGAAGTCAACTGTTTTAAGGAGGAGTACACTGCTCTACTTCTCACAACATTTTGGAAATTGAATTTTCAAAGGACGGTCAATTGCTTTTTTAATGGAATTGTTTTATATGAAAAATTATAATTTTTTAAAACGTAAAAAGTAATTTTTTTTTGTGAATCAATTTATGTTTAATTATTTAAAAATTTTTTTGTATATAAGTAAAGTGATTTTTTATCGAAATAATATAATAAAAAAATCATGACCTTAAAGATTAAATTTTTATAAATAAAAATTATTATGAGTTCATTTTACATAATTGAAAAGTTTTTTTTTTTTTATCTTTTCTCCCATTTTTCTCAAGTTAAAGGTTATTTTCTTTCGTTTTGTTTACTGCAGAAAATCTTTTTATGACAAAATATTTTCATCTCTTATCTGGTTTGATTTTTTAGTACAAGGTAAACTAAATATCAGTTTCGTTATATCTTGGAAGTTCTTTGATTCAATTTTTTTGACTTATCATAATTGGTAGAGACAAAATAAATCTTAATAAAAGTGGTATTTGCAATATATTTTAAAGTCATTTCTGTCCGTGATTGAAGATACTATTTATTTTACTGAACAGAGAAAGGCTACAAAAAGATCACAAACTCAAACATCAAGTACACATTATTTTGTGTTCATATGCCTTTTATTTTCTAACACTTCATTGCATCTTCGTTGTCTTGTAGAATTTTCCCAACAATAATGATATCTAAAGCCAAAAGGACATAACCCTGTAAATTTATGAGATAATATATTTCAAAATATCATAATCATAATCATATATATATATATATATATAATATAATAAGCTAGGCTTTGAAGCCTTTCGCCTAAGCTATCATTGGAGGAAATTAAGCTCATATTTATATGGTTTTGAAGGATATAGTTGGAGACAATGATTAAGATGTTGAGTTACTAGATCAATGATTCAACCGTTAGATTAATCGGATCAATTCTTGAATTAATAAAAATATTTTAAAATTTTAATTTATTATGCAATAAATAATAAAAGTTTATTATGAATAATTTTATACTTAAAAAATAAAAATATATAATCTAATAAGTGTGAACAAAAAGTATATATTAAAAAATATATGTAATAAGTTTAGCTTAAATTTAAAATTCAAAATTTTAATTCAAACACTCAAAATACTAGTCAAATAATTTAAGATAATTAAAGAATCCAATAAAAGTAAATACGCTAAAACTGATAAATAAAAAAAAAGGGAAAAACCTTAAAAAAAAAAAAAAGGAAAGTACGTGTAAAATAATTTTTTTTTAAAAAGTATCTTTAAGATTGAAATTGATGGATAAAGTTTTAATTTTAACTAACCAAATATTTATTCTTCAATTCGATGTGAGTGTCACACTTAAAAATAAAAAACAGAAAGGAGGTTTTTTTTTTTTTTTAATTGATTTTTAGGGTGCATAAAGTGAAAAGCGACATCATTTTATTTAGATTTTAATTTTTTTTAATTTTTATTTTACTTTTAAAATATGTTATTTTAATTAAATAACACAACAACTTATAATTTTAATTATAAAAACCAAATTAATTATAATTTTTAAGGTTATTTTATTAACAAATTTAAAACTCAAACGATTTTAAAAAACCCGTACTATTCATTGATTTATTAATTAAATTATTGATTCAATACAATTTAAAAATGGATTAATTGCAATTTGGTGTAGTAATAAAACTGAATCAATTTAAGTACAGAGTCAACAATTCAATCGATTCAATCACCAATCTAATCCAATTATGATAATTATAGTTAGAAACTTGATATTTCAATTATTTTTTTAATTATAAGACGAGCAATTTATTTAGGCAAGAGAAAATTTTAAATTTGGCATCAATTTTGGGTCAAATTCTATCTCAATCGACTTAAGAATTTATTTAGATGAATGATGAAATTAATTTTAGTGTAATTGAAAACAGTGATAGTAATTATATTACTTATTATAAAGATGAGATTAAAATTAATTGTAATATACATGTTTGTATACAAAGTTAATAGTAACGGTGGAATTGAATACTTTAGTAAAAATAGAACATTACTATTAATAATATTAATTTAAAAGTATATAAGAAATTATTTATATACATTAATGATATTTAACATTTAAAATCTTAAAAAATTAATTCATTCAAAATATTGACCTTATTAAATTAAATTAATATTTTTAAGTATTAAAAAGTACAAAATAATTTGAAATATTTAATATTTGAAAAAAACACTTATAATAATATAAATATTATTTAAAAATATTATTAAACATAAGAAATATAAATATTTGATAAAATGAAAATTTTAAATTTAAATAAAAGATAATTATTTTTTGAAAAATAATAATACATAAAAAATCATAAAATAAAATTACTACTATTAATTTATTTAATTATTTATTTAGTTATCTATTTTAGTTAATTACTTAATTATAAAAACATTTATTTTTTTCAATATTTACTAGATATAGTTTTGATTATAAAATTGATTATTTTTGTATTGATTATTTTTAGCTTTTATTCATTAATTACTTTATTATATTACTATATAAATAATTTATATTATAATTAAATAAAGTTATTTGAAAAAATTAAATGAAAAATATAAATAACAAAAAAAATCGAAAGGCAAAGGCGATAAGGGGTATCTCGTCCCTTCATTGTACATTTGAGAGAAAAAAAAATGATGGTGGAGGCACAACTCATAAGGGGAACAAGGCATACAACGGAGAGCTAAATTTTCCACTTAAGGCCCAATAGCAACCGCTGACTCTGGTGCAACCAGAGAAGGCCGCTCGATTCGTGATCGAATTCGAGTTACTCGAGCTCGCTCGATTAAGCTCGATTAATATGTAAAAATAAGTTCGATTCGTATACTCGATAAGAGTTTGATTATTCATGCTCGAATATGAACTCGAACTCGGACTCGGACTCGAAATATTTTATTAATTAAAATAATAAAAATATATTTAAATATAAAAGTTCGATTAGGCTCGCGAGCTACTCGAGTAAGATATAAAAATACTCAAATTCGGCTCGATCGATAAGTCGAGCTACTCGAGCTTGAGCTCGACTCGATAATAATCAAATCGAATTCGAATTTTTTTCGAATCGAACCCGAATAACTTACGAATACTATTATATCATTTATACCTCTAAACTCAACCGCATCAGGATTGACTTCGATTGACACTTCAAATCCTTTTGTTCAATGCTTGGTTTGATTCGGCCTGGTCGGACTCGAATAGAGCTGATATTATTCAGAAAAATATTTTAATATTTTTAATGTATTTTAAAATTAAATAAAAAAAAATCAATTTTATAAACTAAATAACACTTCGTGTTGGATTCGGACTTAAAAAATATAGTTAAGGGTCTGTATGAGTCCCGCTAGATCCACTGTGTTTATTTTATCTTTTTTATAAAAAAAATATTTATAACAATTCAAAAGTTGTTATAAAGTAGAATTACTAAATAATGCAAAAAATTATATTTGATTAACAAATTATTAAGTAAATATATTGTACTAATCCAAATGTAATTGTTTTACATAAAAATAAGATAATACTACAATTTTTGTTTCTTTCCTTTATATAAAAATTAATCCGTTGAGTTTTATATGACATCAAAGGACATAACTTGCTTCTGATTCCACAAATCTCGTTATCTCTTCCTCAAGGCCTAAATATGAGACTTCAACTTAAAAGTCAGTAATCATTTCTAGCTTATTAAGATATATAAATTAATCCTTCTTTATCTATAAATATATATATATATATATATATATGATAACATAGGTAGCCGTCCTGCACAAGAGGATTGGAGTCCAATGTTGGAATCTAGCTGTGCTCTCTTTTCATGGTTACACTGCAAAATAAAAAATTTCGTTTTTATACACCGACAAAATTTCATGAGTGATAAAAGTAAAATATTTGTTAAGTACGTATCTCACATTTTAATTAATATTTTTAAGAGATATATATTACTCTATTGATGCGAGTTGAAATTAAAAACTTCCTTAGAGATTGTACCGAATGAATATCCTATGAATTGATATCGTAAGTCAACCTTATCTATTTAGAAAGAAGCGTGCATTGATACAAAAACCTTGCTCTATCATGGCTGGGATTGCTACAAAGTTCCCCGGTCCTTCTCGCTGGCTAGACTTGAGGTGTAGCTTGACTTTAATTAATCTTCGGTCAAAGGCGAACAAATATTAATAATTCAGCCAGTCCAGCAAATAAATTTCTTTTCTTTCACACTAGTTATTTCCGGACTTGATCATCCTTATTGCAGTTTGGCATCATGGGCGGTGAAAAATATCCCCTTTTTATTCAACTTGACTTTGTTTTCAAGAGATAAATCTATTTCCCGTGTTGGACATTGCAGATTTTTAGGGATATTCTGAAAATTAAAAAAAATTCAAGAACACTGACGCAAGGGATTCTCTACCTAGATAATGAATTGTTTTCAGATATATTATGATGATTACATGTTGTTATTGTGAAGGCGGTGAGGACATTAGCAGGATGAATCAGGCACATGCAATGTCCATGTTCTCTGTTTTGATACTCTACTATTTGATCCAAGTCTACTTGTGTTGATCCACTAAAATTTTTAATATTCTATAATTGGGAAGGATAGTGAATGCTTGATTAGTTGACTTTTGCAGAAAATCAAACGGGGTTTGAGTTTGACTCTTAGTATCCAGCATAAATCAACACAACTTCACCTGCTTTGGAGCTATATATAAATTCCTGCTTCTCAGTCTATTTTCTTCACATACCAAAGAGAAAATGGCTTTGGAAATTAATAATGTTCTTTCATGGGTTTTGTTTTGCCTAGCTGCAATGATATCCACCATTTTCTTGAAACACAGGAAAAGCTGTTATAGAATGAAGTGGAAACTCCCACCAGGGAAGATGGGACTTCGTTTGGTAGGTGAAACATTGGAGTTCTACAAAGCTCAACGTAATAATCGTTTGTTTGAGGAGTTCGTTGAACCTCGGATTGCAAAGTACGGAAAAGTCTTCAAAACAAGCCTTATGGGATCACCAACTGTTGTTGTTAATGGAGCTGAAGCCAATCGGTTCATCTTTTCAAATGAGTTCAAGTTGGTGATAAGCTCATGGCCTTCATCATCAGTTCAGCTCATGGGCAGAAATTCTATCATGGAAAAACAAGGGGATCAACATCGTTTCCTTCGAGGACTGGTAACCTCTTGTCTCAGTGGTGCATCGCTAGAGGCTTTAGTGCCAAAAATATGCAATGCAGTTCGACTTCACCTTGACAAAAATTGGCTTGGAAAAGATGTTGTTAGCCTTTATCGTTCGACAAAACTTTTGACCTTTACCACAGTCTTTGAGTGCTTGTTAGGGATCAATGTTGAGCCACAAATGTTAGGCACTTTTGAGAGAGTTGTAGAAGGTGCTTTTGCTCCACCAATAAACTTCCCTGGCTCTAAATTCTCAAGAGAAAAGAAAGCAAGGGTAAAAATATCAAAGATGTTGGAGAAAATAGTGGCTGAAAAGAGAAAAGCAACGGAAAGCAGTTTGGAAGGAGAAGAGAAAAGAGATATGCTACTATCGCGAATGGTGGCTGCAATGGTTCGAGGGGATCTTACAGAGGAAGAGGTCATTGACAATGTAATTTTGCTAGTCTTTGCAGCTCATGACACAACTTCGTTCGCCATTGCCATGAGATTCAAAATGTTGGCTCAGCATCCACACTGCTACTCTACAATCCTTCAAGGTATCATATATTTGTGCTTAACTACAACTTAATTTGACATAACTTAACCGCAATGTTTGCCAGAACATGTTGATGTAAAAAACGCAAAAGAGCCAAGTGAGAAGCTGGCGTTAGGAGACGTGAAGAAAATGGAGTATACCTGGCAAGCTGCTCGAGAAAGCATACGGCTGTTCCCTCCCATCTTCGGCTCTTTCAGGAAAGCTGTTGCCGACATTGAATATGAAGGATTCACAATTCCCAAAGGATGGAAGGTACACGTCAATAACTTTGTTTTTTTCTTGAAAAAGAAACTTTATTGAATTGTGAAATACATGTTACAAGTTATTTTCCTTTGCTGCCGTTATGTGGGCGCAGGTGCTATGGACAGCGTATGGAACACATTATAATGAAGAGTATTTCCAAGATCCTCTACGTTTCGATCCGAGCAGATTCGAGGAATTCATCCCGCCTTACATTTTTCTTCCCTTCGGAGGAGGGCCGAGAACCTGTGCTGGGTATCAGCTTGCCAAGTTGAATATCCTCATCTTCGTGCATTACGTTGTTACTCGTTACAACTGGTCATTGATCCATCCCAATGAATCAATCACCATGGATCCCCTCCCAGTTCCATCTAAGGGAATGCCTATCAAGATTTCTCCTAAGCTATCATAAAGCCAAATGATTTTTTTTTTTCTTTTTAAATCCTATTCTTTGTTAACATTCTCTTCTCACTGGTTATACCCCGGCCTTCCTATCATATAGGCTGTATCTTTTTATCACTCTTTGATCTGTCTCAATCGCAATTTTTCTGGAAGGGTAAGAAATAAATATGAATACATGTATAGAGGCTGCGTCCTTCCAAGGTTCAACTGGTTAACCATTCAAGAAATCATTTATGTTTCTAAACTACTACTTGACGCAATCGATGTGAATAAATTAAACCGTCAAATGAAGGATGTGAGCTACCATCCATAAGATTACCATATTGAAATGTACTTTGCTCGGCATCGGCCCCAATTCTTCTTTTTTATTTCCAACTGGCTGTAGTTACATGACCGTACCAGAAAACTTGTAATTTCAATACCGGATTTTGGTTTGGTGGGCAGTTCTAGTATAATGTAGATGGATTTTATTTATGAAAATTAATTGAACATTCGTAACCTATCCTGAAACCCCATGATACCAAATCACTGAAGTTACAGGATGGAAGAGAGAGGATTGAAAAGGGTTGGTAAAAGTGGCAACAAAATGGTTTTCACTAATGCTCGATAACCAAAAAATAAAAACTTGAAAGATGATCGTTCTCCGTTTTAATCCTCAAAAACAAATTATTTCATATTTAAAAAATTAAAGAAAAATTAGAAAGGGTTAAATATAAAAATAGCATTTGAATTATATATTTTATGTCCGAATTTATACTTAAAAGAAATAAAATCATCAATTTAATACTTGAATTTCATTCCGTTATTATATTAATACTTCAAACTAACGCCGTTAGTATATTTGCTAATGTGACATTACTATCCAATAAGATATTAACATGAATTAAAAAGTTCAAGCACCTGTTAGTAAAATTCAAAAAATATATATAAAAATTTATAGCAAATTAAAAAAATATTAAATATTTTAAAAATATAAAAAAATATAAGAACATAAAATATTTTTAAAATTAAGAAAATTAAATATATATATATATATATATGAAAACTTAAAAAATTCAAAAAATCTCAAAATTTTAATAAAAATTTCCAAATATTCAAAAACAATTCTTAAAATTCAAAAAATAAAAATTTTAATAAAAATGTAATTTTCTTAAAATTAAAAAAAGATTCACAAAAAATGTGAAAATGTGAAAATTTAAATTTTTTATAAAAAAATGGAAATTTATACAAAATTCTTAAAAATTTAAAAAATTTTTGAAAAATAAAAAATTTAATAAAAATCCAAAAAATTTTAAAAATCTAAAAAAATCATAAAATATATAAAAATTAAAATTGTAAGATTAAAAAAAAATGAAAATTTTTCATAATTTTTTAAAAACTTTTTACAATTTTTTCAATTTTTAGATTTTTTCAAAAACTTTTAGATTTTAGATTTTTTATTTTTTTAACCTTTTGTGAAATTTTTTTAATTTGAAGAAAATTTTATATTTATTGAAATTTTCTTTTTTTTATTTTTTTCAAATTTTTTTAATTTTTTATGGATTTTTATTAAAATTTTTTAATTTTTTTGAGTTTTTAAAATATTTATTTTTTAATATTCTATATTTTTTAAAAATTTTTTGATGTGATAATTGATGGCATGACATTTATTAGATTTTTTTGACACATATCAATATCTTATTGGATGGTAATGTCACGTTAGCAAGATTAACAAAATTCTCTTAGGTATTAAAATAAATGATTGAATGAAAGTTAAAATACCAATTGACAAAAAGTGTATAATTCAAAAATTATTTTTATATTTAACCCAATCAGAATAATGTGACTAACATATTGTAATTTTACAAAATGATTCATTATTTTTTAACAAGATTTTTATAAGAAAAAAAAAAGGAATTGAAAATATATATTTTTAAAATTTTGTCTTAATGAGTGAGTTATTTTTTCAAAGCATGTTAAAGAGGTTTATTTCATTAAAAAAATGTAAAGACAAAAGCATTTTAATTTTATTTTAGTGTTGTAATTTGATTTTAATAAGTAATTTTCCTGATTAAGTTTCATTTTGCACATCATAGATAGTATAAATAATATCATTTTCATTTACTAACAAACAACAAATAAAAAAATAATTTTTCGCGTCTTTCCTACCTTTACTGCTTAATGCTCATATGCTAACAATTTCATTCTTTAGTCAGCTGGAATATTTATGCTGTAAATTTAATCCTAGCCTCAAGGCAATAAATACTACCCCACCCCTTAATCAATTTTGATATATATATTTTTTATAGATATTTTTATTAAAAATTTTAACAACATTTTTACCATTTAATACATATTAATTAAATTTAAATTATAAACTATATTTTTAACTTTTTTAACATATTATTAATTTTCACATTAAATAATATTAATCTATCAATTTAAATATTTAAAAAAAAAATCACAAATTTCTCCTAAAAAATTAATTCAAGTTTTACCCCAACAAATAATCCCTTATTAAAAGCTCTTCTTGGGCAATAGCAACAAGACAATTACATCGTTTTTCCATGGACGCTATTAACATGCCAAAGTGGTTTTCCCTCACTTCAGTTACCCTCCTGTTCAAATCAAACAACGGTTAAGTCTTACTGTGTACTAAATGAAAGAATTAAATCATCATGTATTTTACAAAAGCAAATAATCATGAGTCACAAATTTGTCATCAGCTACATAAACAATTACTTTCACTTACATCCACAATATTTTTACAAAGGGTATGGATCTTTCGCACACTGCATGGTATCTGGTAGTAAATTATGACTAATTGGCTTCAAACCTCTTCTAAACCTCCAATTTACGAGGCTCAGTTCTAGCTTTCGCACCTGCAAACATTAATTCTTATCCATTACAATTCATCAAGCATTTGATAGAAATAACAGATAATATACATAGCGTGAAACAAATACCATAGCAAAGATGAAGAACTAACATACAAGCCAAAAAAAGCAAAGATAATTGTAAAAATCAGCCAAAAAAAGCAAAGATTGTCCATGTTGTTCAGCATATTTGTCAATTAAAATAACTACCTAGAAAACACGTGGTGTATCTAACAATAAGGGATTGTGGATTGATGATGGAAGGTTGTTGGACACCCACAACAGGATTAAATCCAGAGAAAAAAAAATGAGCAAACTGATACAAACATCATGCAACAGAAAAAGAGGGAATGAATTTTTTCGCAGGGGTTTAATCCTAAAGAAGTGCAGGTAATGGACCCAATATCAAGCATGGCTTGAAGACAACAATTCAGGCTTAAGAGGGAAGATGTAAGCCAGCAACAAATGGCAAAGATTTAATAGTTTCATCAAAGAATGGAAAAACAACCTCTACGTGATCCATAAAACACTATATCAAACACAGCTAACTGACAAACCCACTAACACAAATCCACCACAACAATTCGCATCATTATTTATCTAGACATATGTATGATTTTGTTTAAGACTTGTCCACTAAAAGTTACACGTTGAATTGTTGCAAACCACTGAAAGAATTCTTTCAAAAAAGCTTAGGGAAAAAGACAGTCTCAAGTCACCAAATGAAGAACAGAAGAATTGAACAAAAAAAGAAAAAAAAAACAGAAAAAGAAGTAAACGGATGTTAGGTCTTGTACAAGAATGAAGAAAAGATCCAATAACTATGGTATTTATTATCTATAGTTAACAGTTGAGGCTTAATTTGAGAGATAGTCTTTTGCAGCAAATTTCTCCAGAATAAGAGAACAAAGATGTATCAAATATTTTCCCTGCGTTTGGGTTCTCAATCTCTTCTGTTCAGCGGGTTCAATAAGGTGCTTCAGTGCACAAAAAAAATAAAAATAAAAATAAAATAAAAAGAAAGGAAAAGCAACCTGCCCAACAATGAATGGCTCCTCAAGAAGACTTAATGGCTCAGTTAATGTAGTCAAATATCCACATCGATTTCCACAAACAATATCAGTGAAACGCCAATCACCCACCTGCCACAAACATAAATTATGTCACCAACATAATCCAATGTTAAGACTAAATCAACCATCCAGTAAGTTCTATCACCCTTAGCATACCATGATAAGTTGTGAGATTTACATCCAAAGTGTTTCTCGATTTCTTCAGCTGTTCCAGCTGGTATATTCAAACCTTAAAAGAGATGTCAGATAGATACCCTAATCAATTCTAGATAAACCAAACACTTCTGTCATAAATTAACAGTGAATCATATTATCATATTAAGGTGTGCTAAACCTACAAGAAAGTATAGCAGTAATTGTAACTCATCCAAAGATTTTTACATGCTTGATGCTTTAACATAGAATTGAAACTGTGACATACAGTTTAAAAATTGCTTTCTTTATTCATCAATGGAATAGAAATGAATTTGGTAACAGACTAAAACTAAAATCTTGAACTGAAGAAAAGAAAACACTTACTATGCCTTATAACTTTAATTCCAATAGTCCCTTCTAGTTTCTTCGCCTTTGGACCATCATGGTCATACTCTAAAATGCCTTAATTCATCAAAAAGAGGGAAAAACAAAACATCAACATATTGCACAAAAAGACAATCAGGAAGGGCTAAAACAGGAATCGATCTCAAAGAGTCAAGCCAATAATTACCAGCAGAGTTACTAAACGCGTCAATATCAGGACCAAAAACCTCTTTGCACTACTCAATAGAAGGCCGGAGAGTAGGCCAAAGCGTCAAAGAATAAGGAGCAGTAATTGTATTATCCTTATCGAAAACAACAACTTTAGACCCTCTTCTGTGGAGCTCATTCCGATCAATGCACCTTATAGCAGGCACTGCAACATGCGGCAACGCCAAGTGACGATCTTTAACGAACACTCTAACCGAAAAAACAATGCCTTCGACATTGATTAACTGTCCAACCGCTGCTTTCAAATCTATCCACCACATGTTTGTGAAAATGACTCTAAGAAAACCCAGGATTTGTTATTTTTGGGATTTTTTTTCCTCTTCTTTTTCTTCGTTTTGGGGATCTGGGTCTTGATTATTTACGTTGATTTTGCTAAAAGAAGAGTAAAATTGGTCGAGGAATGTGGATTTCTGATCTGGGTATGTGGAGCTGATTGTTCTATTCTGGTTCTCTTGTTTGGTTTTGCTGAAATTGTTGGTTATTGTGGGGAGAGTTAAACAACTGAGCTTTTCGACATGGGATTGGTGCCTGGTGAAGGATCGATTGGTGGGTTTTTATTTGAAATGGAAATGACGTAAGCTGTTGGGTATGGGATAGCAGCTGTTGGGGAATGCAGCAATTGCAACTCCATCTCCAATGTGTTATTTTTTAATTACTCGATAAAGAAGTATATTTTCAATTTCTTTTTCACTTCTAGTGAGGTTATGGTAACTTTTCGCACAGTTGGTCTGGTTTGCAGTTCGGTTCGGAGCCGACCGTGGATTGCCGCTGCCAGCTATCGTTAAATAGTTTCCCGTTGATTTTACCATCCACAAACCATAATCTAGTTAAATAGAGGATTGTAATTTACCCAATCTATAACTTAATATAATAATTATCCCGGATCTGCATTAAAGGCAGAGATCAGCAAATGTCAAAAACAAAAAAATAAAATTAAGGGACAATTGTTGAAAGAAAATTATATACTTAAAAGAAGTGAAGAAAGTTTCTCTAAAAGCTTCTCCAAAAACTTTAACCAGGAAGCTTCTTTCCTCGGTGAGAGTTCAATCGTGCCATTGTTTCATTTTCTCCTTATTTTTTGTAGCAAAAATAAGAGGAAAGAGCCAAACAAAAACTTCTCTTCCTCCACTACCGATTATAATCAAACACGGTAACATCTATTTTTTCAATTTTTTTTTTTGTTTGGTTCCAGAGTAATGTTATTATCATAGTTGAACTCCGTGACCTTGTGTATTGTTGCGTTGGAGTCATGTCTCTTCTTCAACACTAACTGCAAATGGATCTGAGCTGTGCTAAGTGTGAACTATCAAAGTACCAGAGCTTGGGCATCACCAGCCATGTTGGCCTCATAGCGGTGGTGACAGCTGCGGCCATAGCCACAGCCACCATATTCAGAGCTTGGGGATAAATCTGATTGGGAGCGTGGCGTTTTGCTTTGAATACAATTTTTTTAGAAAAATATTCATATTTTGGATGATTGAAATGGCATTAGGTTCTACTTTCTAATTCGTATAGCTCTTTGCTTTGATCTTAGGTGTTTGACTGATCTATTTACGCTAAATATGACTTTTTCAATGCATTAAATTGCTGATTCAAAGTTCTTTCGAGTATAATTGTTTTTTTTATGATTTGATTTTGGATGCTTTAAATTGGTAATTAGAAGTATTGATAATCCAGTTTGCCTGTAAGTGGGTAGGTCACTGCAATCTTTAGTTGAATATTGAATGGTGTTTTGCTTTGCATGCAATCTTTAGTTTGTGCAGATTGTTTCAATAACTCTTCAGGGTAAACCTCTCTTGATTGAATTTGAGTTAGCATTGAGTTCCATAGTGTCGTCCCCAGCAGCATCCATTGCTGAAACTACTCTCCCTGGTTCTAGCGATAATGTAATGATCAGAGAATTGATTGGAAGATTAGGAAACATATGTAATTCTGGTGATATTTCACCTCAATCTTTCATTAAACCAAATAACAGCATTAACAGTGCTAACACTTCATGTTATAATACTCCATTGAATTCATCTCCAAAGCTCAATCTTTCAATGATGGATGCACAGATCAGAGGAAATTTGAATTTACTGGTTCTTGGAAACCAGTTATCAAATCATCCAAGTCTGACACCATTTTATGCTGACCCTGAATTTGCTGAGAGGGTTGCTAGATTTTCCTGTTTTAATAGTAGCAGGAATCTTGGTGGCCGAAATGGTCAGCTTGGATTAACAAAGACTGAATTGCCTCACAGATTACTTCCTACAATGGATTCTGTTAAGCTTTCAAGAGTTACAAGTAACCAATACATTAAGGTTACTGGATCTCAAGTAAATGTTCCATAAAGCAACAAGAACTCATCACAGGAAGGGAATTCAGGTTCTGATAAGAAAAACAGTTGGCTGTCAGGGTTTTCCTGGACAGAGAATGCGGAATTTGGTGATTCCAAGAAAGAATCTTCAGTTTCTAAACAGATCCCAGGTGGGGATTCAAGCATGAAAGGCCAAAATTAGGCCAATGCAAGGAAAAGGAAATCAATTCGGTTGGGGAAAGCAAAAGAAATCTCTACTCCAGCGGCTGCTGATGCCAAGGTAATGTAATTCTGTTTAGAAAATTATTAGAATTTATTTGAATTGTCAAATTCTGTCCATTTCAGGTTGTAGCAGAGAATGATGAATCCACAGCCAAAAGAAGCAAGCAAGATGGAGCCGCTGGGAATGCAAAGGAGAAGACAGAACAAAATGGCAATGCTAATGCAGCAAATGATGGGAATCAGAAGCAAAGTAAGGAGAATTCCAAACCACCAGAGCCTCCAAAGGACTATATCCATGTAATCTTGCATGGCCAGCTGTTAAGAATATAAAACCACCATATCCATGAGTATTTTGGTTTTTTTTGTTTCTAAAATTCTTTTTTTTTCTCAATTTATATGCTTAATTTTTTTACGATTTCTTTTTTGGGTGATGGATTCATGATAGGTAAAATGTTAGTTTGTCAACATTACCAGATAGAAGGTTGCCATATGTGGGGAATTTATGAAGTTAAGTTTCAAGTACTTCCAACTTCCTTATTTCATACAACACAATTTTCTTCATTGGCATTTGTTATTTGCCACCATGCATGATGTGTTGGATTGAGATATTGAAAAAAAAAAAAAAAAAAGAATGAAAAAGACCATCAAAATCATTGTGTTTTGTTATTGATGCTAATTCTTCAATTGATGATTTGTTGTCTCATATTAACAGACATTTTCTCGTGGAACCGCTTGCAATTTTATCCATTGTTTCAGGAACCCTGGTGAAGACTATGAATGGGCAAATTTGGACAAACCACCCCCAAGATATTGGGTGAGAAAGATGGTTGCTTTATTTGGATATGCTGATGAGGCTGGGTTTGAGAAACAGATAGAACAAGAGCATTCAGGGCATTCGAGGAACCCTAGCTGGATGGTAAAGTCAAATGATGACAGGTATGCGGTTTTAATTGTATTCACAACTCAACAACTACTTTTGGCTTTGGTATATTACCATATGCTTTGTGTTGGTCTTGCTCATTACTAATAAAAATTCTTACATGTTAATTGTAGTAAAATGTTTAAATTTTAAATCTTCTTTTAAAAGTTTTTGGAAATATAAATTATAAAACAATTTTGTCATTTATCGAAACAACTCATGCCCTTTTGAAGAGACCTTTTTTCCACTATATGTAGGTTTGGGCTTTAAAGTGGAATGAAAAAGCATATGTAAGTTGTAGGAAAGTTAAACTTAATCACGAAGACCTTCGCATGGCTGTATTGATTCAAGAAGTCATTTATGGTGATTATGCATTTATTATTCACACAAAAATAAAATCCATTATTAGGGGACACCTTAAAAATATATGCAGAGATAAGCCTCCCTTTTTTGGTTCTATATGAACTTAGTGATCTCAAAAGTATTTTTCATCTATCTTCTTGGTTTGAAAACAGATTGTGAAAGGTATGGGAGAGAAATTGATGGGCGCATATCTAGGACCCGCTATGAGCTTCATTGCGAAAAAAAAAAAAAAGAAGCAGCCTAAGATGCCCTATTGTAAGGCAGTTTCTTTGCATCTCTTATTTGTCGATACATGCTCCATTTCACAACTAATTCATATTACTTTAGTGTCATCTTCTGTGTGAATCTACTAATTTTGAGGGCAATTTTATATTATAGTTACTAACATTATTTAGATTTAATTCAAATAATACAGATATATTTTATTAGTTTCAAGCTCCTTTTGGATGGGTGACCAGTGTGGTAGGAGCAGCACTGGCTACCTATCCAAATGAAGCCTTAATTGTGGTGATTTAAGACACAGTTACAACCTTTTTATAATGTCTAATTTACCAGTTTTCTTATAATGATTCTTCATGTGCCAGACACTTAGAATTAGATTTATTGCCTATGCTTACTTCTGCAGTGTATGCAGCACTAATCATTCATTGAAGGAAGTTGGGATATTTTGGAGTCTATTGATGATAGTTTCTTTTTTCTTGCAAGCAGCTGATAGTGTGCTTAAGGTTATTGGTTTTCTAACTAAAATCTAAGTAGCTAACCATTTCCAAGTTCTATGTAATGCATTCATGTAACATGTGATATTTAATCATTTGCAGGAAGTAATCTTTTTGGATGCCGCGCAACGATTAAAAGTATGATGTTTATTGTTGGAAAGTCCCTGTATTTTGTTGGTCAAATTGAACATAAAAAGTTGAGAAAATTTTGTGTGAGTGCATACTTTGTGTTAAAGAATATTTTCTTGCATTTGTTGCAGGGCGGGTCAGTAGATCTATTTGTTGTAAATTCCTATGGTTCTGCATTTCAAGTAAGTACTGTGTAATGAGTTACAGTGTTAGGTTCTCTGACAATTTTTACTTGAAGTCTCCTTTCAATGGTTTTTCTATTTTGGCTCTTAGTTGGATGTTAAAGTGATTGTACCATGTTTAGTGCACGTGTCACAGGTCGAGACTTAAGCTCTTAACCCGTGCGATTTCGAAACCCGAGCATTCACTCTTCTGACATCCCGGATCAGTTTACCTACCATGATTCACACCTTTATGAGAAATTATCCGCTCTAGTCTCCTGACCTCACGGTTTTGTCTTACAAAAGGTGTCTCACAAGATAGAAGTGTGAACCCTTTTATACCCCAGCGACCCTCCTATTATGTTCAATGTGGGATTCAGGACTCCTCTTTAGGTTCGTGATATTCTTTCGCACCCAACCTTGTGATGCCCCTCATCACGGAGGCTGACCACCCTGTCTACACTGGCTCTGATACCATTTGTCACGGTTCGAGACTTAAGCTCCGAACCTACGTGGCTCCGGGACCCGAGCATTCACCCTTCCAACATCCCAAATCAGTCTACCTGCCATGATTCACATCCTTGTGAGGTATTGTCCATTCTGGCCCCCCCTGATCTCACGGTTTTATCCTACAAAAGGTGTCTCATAAGACAGAGGTGGTGTAAATCTTTTTATACCCCAGTGATCCTTCTATTATGTTCGATGTGAGATTTAGAACTCCTTTTTAAGTCCGTGATATAAGCATTATTCATTTGTCAACTTGTACCCTTTTTATCAAAACTTTGGGGCATTCCACTTAGTCTGCTTCCAAACTATTTTAAAGATGGTGTAGCTTGCTTCTTGAACATTAGTGGTACTTTATCAAGTGGTAAGCCCTCATAATTGTTTCATTATCTTCTATCTATTGTAAAGGTAAACAGATTCCATTTTGCGCATGTAATAAATGATTGCATTTCAAATGAAAGGCATAGTGTGCCATGAATATGCCCATATTTGCACGTCATACATCATGCAGGAAATAGAGACATAGTTTAGAAAATTACAAGTCATTTTGTAATGAGAAAATAGAGTTATTTCATTATTTTAATTGTTCAATGTTTTATTTTTTTATTATCATTTTAAATGGTTTATATTTTATAAATTAATTTAATCAAATATTAATAAAAGTCTCGAAACTAAGCTTGGGTATCTTTTTAGTTTTTGATAAATTAAAAGTCAAAACCTTTTAATTCAAAACTTTAATATTTGAATTTATATTTTAAAAAAGATTAATTATAAAAAACAATAATCATTATAAAAATGCCCAATTGAGAAATGTATTTGAACTAAAAAATTATATTGTAGTGTTTCAAATATGGATTTTTTGTTAAAATCTTTAATTAATCCTTTAACTTTCTCATTTTTCTTAAATAAATTTATTTATTTATTTATTGCATCTAGAAAAGCCTATCATATCATTTGTATTTAAATAGTTCTGATGATAACAAAAAAAAAATGTCGTGTATCATGTGATCTTAATGATTGTTATGATCATTAGACCCGTGGTTAATTGGTATTTGGAGAGTATATTATAATCATTGTATTATAATTAATAAATTATAATTTAAAATTATATAAAATTTTTTAAAATATTATATGTATCTTACACTTATAAATGATAAATGCTTAAAATTTTTTTTAATTGAATAATTACATAATTATAATAAAAACTGTAAGTGGACATATTTTATTTTTATACACCGTTGACCTGTTAAAATGAAAAAAATTTCAATCGAGACATGATTGTGAAAGTCATGTCATCTGTCTCATGTATAAAGAATGTCAATTAATCATGAGCTTAACAACCATCGAAAACGTGTATCTCTTGATTTTTTTTGTCCATATAAAAATTTATTAAGATAAAAATCATAAAATATAACTTATTTAAATTTAAATAATTTAAAATACGACATAATAATAAGATATGAATATGATATAAATATAAGATACGAAGGTGACATGATTTAGAATTGATAACAAATATATGTCGGATCAAGTTGAACCAGAACTTGAAGTCGATGGGTTTTGATTTGATTTGATTTTTTAATATTGATTTTTAAAAAAAAAAAATTAAATATCTAGTAGGATAATAATAATAATAATAAAAAAGATCGGATTGGGTTTTAGGTAACCCTGATATATATATAAATTTTATTTTTTAATTATTTATTTAATTATATATATAATTTTATAATTATATTTAAAAATAATATTTTATTAATTTCGAATTGAGTTGAGTACGATTTTATACAATATTGAATCAGATTCAGGTATGAAAAAAATAAAAAAATTTATTGGATTAGGTCGAGTTTGAGTTTTATAGATATAAAATCGAGTCAGTTTCAAGGCGAGTAAAAATTTGTCTTGATCTGACCCATTATCATCTCTATTAGTAATTTAAAACACGACACGATAACAAAACATGAATATGATATAATTATAAGACATAAATATGATACAATTTAAAATTTTAATAATAATTATATTTAGGTTTAACAAAATTAAAAAATTATATTTTTTATTTTCGTGTCGATAAAAATTATGATATATAATTTTCACGTAAAATATAATATAAATACATAAATTTTAATATTTTATATGATATAAATACACAAATCATCATATTTAAATGAAAAAAAAATTATTTTAGAAAATTAAAATAATTTAAAGAAATTATTTAGTATTTTTTTCCATGAGTTTGTTAGACTAAATAAATAGCTAAATTTAGCATCGTAGTTTTTGAAAATGGTATTTAATAAAAGTGATTTAATAGAAGTGATAGACGTCAAAATTGTGATGGGTTGATTTTACCAATTTTGACCAAAGTTAAAGCTTGTCAAATCGTAGCCCAAAATTCCCCTAAATTATATTCAATCAACCCCAAATCTTTCCTTACAACATGGCCATCCGCTCAAATAAAAATATCCTCACACTGCTCAAGGCATCTATTATTCCAAAATCCTCACTGTTGGGGGCAACATATTATGGCTGATACTATTCATCGCAAGTTCATGCAGTTTTCTTCTATAACAAACATCACAAGAAAGGAGGTAGTTTTTTCATTTCTCAACTACAAGTGGCGTGATGGACTCGCAATTATAACCCCTTCTTGGCTAGCAGCGACGACAACCTACAAGCTTCCCCTGGTCCAGCAACAAGGTAACACTAGCGAGTATGGTCAATCCCTCTATGATCTATTTTATTTCATTCCCCCACTTTACACTGTAGTCGTCGCCGAGGCAGTCCCTCATTTCGACTAGGACTCGCCCATCTCAGCTGCATATCATACTTAACATTCAAGAGAAGACTCACCATCATCCTTGTATTTGTTCCACTTGTTTCACTCATTTTTGTCATTGTTGGCCGTAGCACGCCAGCTGCAATAAAACTACTTATCCATACGGATAAGGCTTGCCACCACCATTGCTTTTGTTTCATTCATTTTCCCATCTTCGGCTGTAGCACGCCAGCAGTATTATTGCTTGTCTCATTTTTGTCATTGTCAGCTGTAGCATGCCAACGGCTATTTTTGCTATTGTTTCACTCATTTTTGTCATTGCCAACCATAGCCTCCCTCGACCGCACATCATGCTTAACCTTGGCAGATGACTTGCCACCATCATTGCTCTTATTTCTTTCATTTTGTCATTGTTGGCGGTAGCGTGCCAAAGGCCACAATTATCTAGTGGTTGAATTTTGGTCCCAAGGACACAATTCATTTGAAGCCGCCAACGAGAATCCTATTACTCTAAACGCCTGCGGACACATTGTGAATGGGAATCCCATTACTCTAAAAATTGGTAGAGACATTGTCAGGGAGATTTCATTTCTCTAAAGAGCGGCAAAGACATTGTCAGCAGGGATGTCATTACCTTAAGCCCCGACCTAAGCATTTTCGTTGGGAATCCCATTACGCTAAACACTAACGTAAACATTGTCAATGGGATCTCATTATAAGCAAAACCTTAAATCTCATAAGTGAATATTAGAACATCAAATATAATCATATTGTATACCTATTCAAGCAGACACAATAAATAAACGGAAATAACTGCAGTTTTCTTAAGGGATTAAGGTAGTATTTGATTTCAGAAAATAATCATTTTCTATTTTCATTTTCTTGGAAAATGAAAAATATGAGTAAAACCATGCTTGATAATTGAAAATGAAAACAAATTTTAAAAATCGAAAATGAAAATGAGTTGAAATATGAAAACAAAAAAAAAATCAATTGTGAAAATAAGATATATATTACCTTTTTCCTTATGCTTTGCAAGTTATCATATTTGAACACATTTTAATGTCATTAATTAATAAGTATATATTATATTTATAATAGATACCATTAATAGTAATATCATTAAATATTTTATTTATTTCCTTAGTTTTATATTTTTAAAAAATAATTTTTATTTTCATTTACCAAATACATTTTTTAGAAAACAAAAAATAAAAAATAAAAACTATTTTCAAGAAAATGGAAATAAAAAATAAAAATAAAAACCATTTTCTCAAACCAAACAAAGCTTCAATTTTTCTCTTCGCTCTTCTTTTATTGACAGCTCATAATAGGTAAATGCTATTAATTAGAAGTGAAGAGGGAACCTTAGCTATTTTTATTAAAACTTTAGAAACCTCCTCATCAAAGATTTATCAGATCAAAGGCCTATATAACCATCAAACCACACTAACCCAACAAAATGTGCAAAACCCATATGTAAGTGATCAAAATTAATTATTTGGCTCTCATGCTTATCTCATTTTAAGACTAAATTTATCAACTGTTTTATTAAATTATAAAATCACCACTTAATAGTGGCTCACTTACTGAAAAATTTTAATATTCTCTCACTTGATCAATATTAATTGGGTTGTTTGATTTAAAAAAAGTAATTTAGAAAATAAGACTTTAGACTGATTAATTTTACGTTGATTTGGCCATAGTTTTAAAAATAATTTAGCCCTTTAGATGACATCTTACTGATCCTATCGAATAAAACCATCTAATACCTAATCATGATAGCCTTTATGTCTTTTATTGACATAAGA